GTATGGATATGCAGGGTATATGGGTGTGTAGATGTGTGAGTGAGTATGGTATGTGGATGTGTGGGTATATGGGTGTGTAGTGTGTGGATGTGTGGGTATGTGGGTGTGTGGGAATATGAGTGTGTGGATTTGTGGATGTGGGTATATATGTCTGTGGTGTTTGGATATGTGGGTATATGAGTGTGTGTGTATGTGGATTGTGGATGTGTGGGTTTGTGGTTTTGGTGTGTGGATGTGTGGATATGTGGATGTGTGGGTTTGTGTGTTTGGATGAGTGGGTTTGTAGACTGTGGTTTTGTGGGTGTGTGGGTTTGTGGGTGTGTGGGTATGTAGGTGTACAGGTATATGGGTGTGTGGATGTGTGTGGATATGGGTGTGTGGGTGAGTGGATGTATGGACGTGCATTGTAAAAGCCCTAATGGAAAGTTCCTGAGTTTTCCCATTTTCTAAGAAAAATAATCCCTTTCCAGACATTAACTAGCCTTGGAAATATTTTGCCTGAGATTATTTACACAGATTGCTGTGCTCTTTCAAAGTCTCCCGTCGTGATTCTGAGCCAGAGGGCCCAGTGGCATGGGCAGGTGCCTCTCCAGCCCTGACTGATCTGCCAAACCACACTGAACCCTTCCCATCTGGGTCACTCACGACTCCACTTCAAACTGCAGGCAGGTTTGCAAGAGTCAAGTGTAGAGAATTACATTTCACACAAACCTTATCTAGTGATGTAAAAACATAAGCGTATTTAAACACTGATAATACTCATATTGGTGGCAAATAGCAACCAAAGATCAGAGACACAGTATCTAGCCACACAGCAAATCACTGCCTGCTCAATGTTCATGAGCTTAGCAATGACTTTGCTGGCACTTTCTCAGTAAAGGAACTTAACTATGAAGCAAACTCAGGCCAGTGCCTCCTGGGACAGAAGTTGGTGCCTGTCGCTGGTTTCTGCAATAACAGAACTCTAGTCTCCAGAAGATTAGACACAGACAGCTAATTCCCATAGAATCGCAGCAATTATTTGAGCTGCTCCTCTTTATTTGCTGGCAGAGATGTTAATAAGAGGGCTGGGCAGGCAGCTCAGTCAGTGCAGTGCTGCTGTGCAAACAGGGCCCGAGTCTGCTGCCCAGTGCTCATAAAAAGCCAGTGGTGCACATCTGTAATCCCAAGGCTGAAAAAGTGGAGACAGGTGGAGCCTGGGGGCTAGGTGGCCAGAAAGTCTAGTCAAGCAGTGGCCAGACTCAAGGAGAGACACTTTCCCCAAAAATAAGAACACCTGAAATGGCCCTCTAGCCTCCACATACAAGTGTACCCACGTGCGTGTATACACACAGGCACACACTTGTGCAGGTACACACAAAGAGAGAAGAGGCCCAGACTTCGGCAAAGAAGGGAGAGCCAGGTCTTTTATCAATATGACTGTTTGTTTATTTATTTATTTATTTATTTATTTATTTATTTATTTATTTATTTATTTATTTATTTTTGGTTTTTCGAGACAGGGTTTCTCTGTATAGCTTTGCGCCTTTCCTGGAACTCACTTGGTAGTCCAGGCTGGCCTTGAACTCACAGAGATCCGCCTGGCTCTGCCTCCCGAGTGCTAGGATTAAAGGTGTGCGCCACCACCGCCCGGCTTTTAATGGTCTTAAATTGGCAATGGACCTGATGCTTTAACTTTTATTATTATTTTACATTCTTATTATGTTTTATTTCTTTATTTTGCATGCATAGGGAATGTGTGAAGGCGAATGTTTGGAGATCAGAGGACAATATGCAAGAACTGGTTCTCTCCTCCCACCATGGGAATCCCAGGGGTTGACCTCAGTCAACAGGCTTGGTGGCAGGCACTCTTTCCCACTAAGCCATTTCATGGGCCTCCTTTAGCTTTTACTAGCCACTGGCCACACTGAGTACCTGATCTGCATTGAGATGTCTTGTAGATCTAAGATTTAGCATGTGGAAAGAAAAAGAGAAAAAAAGTACTGGTGTTTTATACCGAATAAACCTTTAATTGATTAGTTTTGATATGTGAGATACTAAATTTAAAAATATTAAAATTGATTTCACCTGTTCCTTTTTGTCTTCTGCTGTGACTAATAGTGCAGTTTGAATTACACATGCAGCACTCCCGTTCTGTGTCTATTGGACAGCACTGATTTACAGGACAGCACTTGCTGCCCCAGGAAGAGGGCCGCAAGGACTCTCTTTTCAGAACTTGCCAGAAACAACAGAAGAGAGAGAGGACATCAGTTCCCATCGCCTCAAAAACTTCTCGCCAAGTCAAAGAGACACTTGCCTGCCACATAATAAAGACTAAAGCATTGTTTGAAAGCAATGAGATAACATTATGTTCATGCCTAAATATGTATGCAGGCATTAGTAAATGTAACTTTTAAAAGAGCCCTGGGGCTGAAGAGATGGCTCAGTAGAACTCTAGTCAAGGAAAAAATAAAACCTGATGTCAGATCCATGACACCCACATTAAAAAAAAAAAAGCCAGGGACAGCAGTTCATGTCTGTAATCCAGGAGACAGAGTCACGAGGGTCCCTAGGGTTCACTGCCAGCAACTTAATCAAATCAGTGAGCTCCAGATTCAGTAAGAGATTCCACCTCAAAATATAAGTAGGAGTGCCACCAAAGAAAACCCTCAACAATGATCTCTGGTCACCACACTAATTAAAGCACATGCATGTGCATGTGCATCTGTGTGCACATGTACCCACAAGTACTTGCCTACACTTGCACACAAACACACATACACAGAGAGAGAGAGAGAGGAAAGAGAGAGAGACAGACAGAGAGAAAGAGTATCAGCAATTTTGACAACATGGAAACCATCATCTTCATTTTTGATACAGCAGTTGTTTCCTGGAAAAATCGTTACCAAAATCAATTAATGTCATAGAAATCAGTTTAGACCTGAAATGACATCTGTCCATGGCCAATGTGTCCCTGCCAGAAGCACAGATGACCAATAGAGAGGTTGGAGCTGCCCTGAGAGGGAGAACAGGACACTGGTTATGTGGACTGAAAAGTAAATGCTGAGTACTTTCAACACTCAGGCAGTAGAGCCTTCACACCAGGGGCAACCAAATTCTCTCTTTGTCACATAGAAATTCTCTGGTGCAAAAACATCCTGCACTCATCCCGGATACGTGAGCTTTCTATCTAAATCCATCAACTGATTTCGACATGTCAACCATCCCTTGGATGTCAAGAATCAACAATATATTTTTTTACTACAAGAGGTAATTTCTTTCTTTATAAAACAAGCCCCATTATTTTTTCAGAGATTTGGGTTGCTCCATCTGATGTCTGTCATTTGCGGCTAGAATAAGTCATTTCTAGTGGAAATACAGAATTACGTGTGCGAGTGAGGGTGGAACACATATGTGAAGCTGGCAGCAAGGTCCCCATCTGCCCTTCTCAGGCTGAAATAGTTGTGTTGGCAAGACTGGTTGCTAGCCAGCTGCTGGAGTCCCCACCCTGCCCAGCATGCCTCTCCACCTGTGTGTCCCAAGCCTCAGGAGCATCCCTGCTAAAGCACCCATGAGAAAAGCTTCCAGAGGTTTCTGTCTAAGCCCTGCACATGGGTTTCCAACACAAGAAAACTGAGTAGTGAGCAGTGACCCTGAGCCTGGCTACATTCAGCAGCTAGCCCTGGCTCTTCCCATTCCTCGCCTGTGTTATCCAGGGAAGAGGCACTAGCACTAAATTCAGTGTCCTCAGTCAAATGGGCCTCCTTCCTCTGTCATCTTCTGCTTCTCAGATAAACTGGGGGTGGGGGATGTGGGGTGTTGTGTCTTCTTGTGCCCCAGCTCAGGGGTCTCTCAGATATAAAGGGCTAGCACAGATAAAAACTGAACACTTTGTAATTTCAGGCAACAACAATTTTTTTTAAAAAAAAAGTATGATTCCCATACAAATTTGTTAAATTTATTCTAATTTTATCCTCCTCTTTTCTCTCCCGCCCACTCCACCTCCTCGAATCCAAATGCCATGGGAAAGAGCACATTTGGAATGACTTGAGATGTAAAATACTTCAGCTTTTTGCTGTTACTTACAAAATATTCCTTTAAAATAATATTATATGGGTCTTTTTAAAGCAAATCATAAAACTTCTGCTAGGATAAACTAGCATGCATGGGGGCCCGATCTAAAGGTAAAAGGACCAGAATGTGAAATAAATCCCTAAGCAAGGCCGGCTGTGCATGAATTCCTCCACTCAAGTTACATTGTGCTCCACCTTGGAAACCATGGAACAATTGAGGCGCGGGGCGTCCGGTTCCAAAGTCTCCCCCAGCCCCCAAGAATCTGAACGGCGGCGTGAAACTGCAAAATAGGATGGAGAAGACCAAGCCGTGGGCAGCCAGTCAGCTGTCATCGTCCTCTGATGGAGACCCACGTTCTTACACCTAGGACGAGATGGGAGCCTGGCCTGGGTTCCCAGCTTCCCACCGGGAGAAGGAAGGGAAGTCCCGTGGATATCCCAAGCCTGGTCTTTAAAATGGGAAAGGAGACGCTGAGGTGGGTCCCTTTCCAGAGCATTAAGTCTAGAGGCTGGGGTCCCAAGCTTGAGGAATCCCCCATCAGTCTCTTCTCGTTTCTGAAAGCTTCTTTCTCTCGCTGTACCTCTCTTTCCGTGACTTTTTCTAAATCCATGGGATCGACTTCCGCATTCATGACAATACCTGCAGTCAAAGGATTTTCCCAACCGCAACTCCTGTTAGGACGGGATTCCTAATCTGTGTAAAACCCAGAGGTTTTGCTCTTTCAAAGCAATGTTAGCTGCTCAGGCTACTGTTCCCCTAATGAGCTATGGATGGCTTCATGCTCACCGCTCCCCTCCCCTCCTGAAGGATGGCTGGTCCCCCTCTCCCAGTTCGGGATGTATTTTGCTCTTCACCCCCCAGAGAGTAATCTGGATCCCGGGACTTGCTAAAAGCTCCGTGAACCCGCGAGCTGCATCCAGCTCCAGCTGAGAGGCGAGGTCTCTTACCTGGTGAGAGCCGGCTCAGCGCGGCAAGTCTCCAGGCGCAGCTCCGGGACCCTCTGCGCGCGGCGCGATGCGGTGGCTGCTGAGGCGGAGCGCGCGCTGCTCCCGGCTGATGACGCTGTCAGCTGCCCTGCGCCCCGCACTGCCCCTGTGCACCGCCCAGAGTACTGCACGCCCAGTGCAATGCCCAGAGCCCTGCACCTCCAGTGCAACGCCCAATGCAACGCCCAGTGCAACGTCCTGAGCCCTACTCTGCCCCTCGCTGCCTTGTGCACCCGCCTGAGCTCTGCACAGCCTCGCAACCACCAGCACCACGCCACCGACGTGCACCTCCGGTACACGCGCCTGGCCCTGCGCAGTCCTCCCACGCGGTGCTCTCTTGCTCTGGCCTCCTGCCTCCGGCTCCGCCCTCCTCAAGCTCTGGCTTTGGAGAGGCACCGTCGCTGCGGTGGCCACTGAGGCTCCAATGGCGCCTGCTTTTCGCCAAGAGCCTTTAGCTGCCCTCTACCGAAAGCTTCTGGAATAGATGGCAAGAGACTGGAATTTTCTGAAAATTCAATGACTCAAAATCATTTCGTTGAAAGGACATTGGATTCTTCTGTTTCCAACTGAGCGCGTACCCTAGTGTAGCTAATCACTACTTACCACACAATAAGCCTTACTTTGTCACTGGGTAGTGTCTTAGTTTCTGTTCCTGTAGCTGTGACAAAGGCAGCCTAAGGAAAAATGGGTTTGTTCTGGCCTATGGTTCACGGTAGGGAAGTCGGGGCAGCAAACGCCTGGAGCAGTTGATCACATCTCACCGGTAATCAAGAGTTAAGGCTGTGGAAGCATGCTGCTGTCCGGATCGATTTGTATAGTTCAGGGTCCCCTGCCCAGGGAATGGTATGACCCACAGTCAGGCCATTGAGTGTCAGTTAAGTCATCAAGATATCAAGATGATCTCCCACCTACATGCCTGAGGCCGGTCTCCCAGGGAGTCTAGATCCTGTTAACTGGACAGCGCTAATCACGTGCTAAATCACATGACAACCTGTCACTGAGAGGTCCCAAGAAATGCCCTGCCAACCATGGAGCATCAATTAATGCACTCTAACAGAAAAGTCTTTTTTCATCCTTTCTTTGTCCTTAGTGAGTGGTAAGAGAACTACAAGATGAGGATTTTTCTCCTCTAAACTTGGCTTAACTTATAGAGTCTATAAGCTATAATATAGAAAGTCACTTTTCTGTTTGGTGAGTTTCTGGGGTCCTGTAGTTTCAGATGACATTGCCCCTTGAAGTTGATTTCCAAAGTAAATCTCTGCCCTGCTAGTCACAGGAAACATGCATTTTAAAAAATCTTACTTAAAGTGTGTTTTCACCATTTGTAGTGAAGAAAATGTCTTTTTACTCCTGAGGTTAACCTGATACTGGCCTTGAAGCTGTGGTCGCTCAAACATGGAAATAGCAGACCACTTTTAACAAAGCCATGTGAGAGCGGTCTCCACAAATACAAGCCTGTTTCAGTCACGTCTGTGAGCAGGATGTCCACATGCCCAGTCTCTTCGTTGTGAAGGGCTGTGTGGGGCCGGAAAGACGGCTCGGTCCCTGCAGTGCTTGGGGAGCACTCACCTAAGTGTGATCTTATTCCAGAGGTGTGGAGTCAGAGACAGGACCCCTGTCCAGCCATCCTAGACAATGAGAGACCTTAACTTAAAAAAAAAAGTATTTGACATGTGAGGTACAAAACCAGTGGTTGACCTCCGGCCTTTACATGCATTTACATACATGTGCACTCTCTTGTGCACACATGGGTGAGTGTGAGTGGGCACACACACACACACACACACACACACACACACAGCAAAGAAGGAAGAAAGGCAGGCAGGCAGGCAGGCTAGATCTTTGTGACTCTGGGGAAAGTGACCAGAGCAGGGAGCCCATGTGTAGACAGACAGGCTGCTGCTGAGTCTAAAATCTGAAAACCCACCCAGGCTAACAAGTCAGGTTGCTGCTTGCCATGACAACCAAAGCGTAGGATGTCGGGTTAGAGGATGAAACGGAACCTGAGACATCAATAAGCGAGTGATAAGGCTGAAGAGGGAGAAACATTGTGGGCAAAGCCTGCTCCACTCCCGAAGCTGGAGCAGGGATCTCTCTGTGGCGCCCTGTGCTCGGCCACTGGACATCACCATCCCCTCTGGGACTCGGACCCAGCGGACCCAGATGCCCTACTTAAGGACGAGCAACTGAAATGATGTTCCTGGCCTCTCTGCCATTTGTCACGCGCCCCTCGCCCCAGAGGCTAGCTAAGCTTCCTGTCAGCTGAGAATCAGAAATCCCAGCACAGCACAGAGCCTTTGCTGTGAAGGTTGCCAACATAGCCAACTCTATGAAGAAGAAAACAGTGGACCGGGCACCACGCCACAACCTACATGCCAATGAGTGCAGTTCTCAGATATTCCCAAGGTCCTTACACGGGTAAACCTTTGCTAACAGTAGAAGACCCCGACTCCCAACAATGCTGGGACCTAGGCTCTTCTCCTACCAGCAGAGATCCCATCCAATACCCTAGGGCCCTCCTGGGACCTCATTTGAGCTCCTTAGCAAGCCTTGAAGTTTGACTTCAGAAGCCACCAAAAGCGCAATGTACTCGGTAGCTGTAGAGACACCATAGTGACTCTCATGAGCAGCCCACACCCCTGCTCTGGAGTAGGTCTCATCCTTTCCTGGGTGTCTCCCTTTCCACTGACTTCTGTTCCTACATTTGTTGAAAATGTTTAACAAACAAACAAACCTCCAGCTCTGTTTCCAATGGCTTGTCCTGAAACTCTTTCCTACAGGGAAATCAAGAATTGGGATTTCTGTCATAATGGACCAGGAACTGAGGGTGGGAGTGTGCTGGAGGCAACATGGAGCAAAGCAGTGTCTCTCCCTGCTGCTTCTGGCCCTGTCACCTCCCATAATGTCCCCCTAAGCATCTGTCCCATTTTCTTCTAACTGCTTTTCCTTGTCTGTCTGTATATTCCTTGTCTGTCTGGAAATACCTCTTAAAACAAGACTCCAGTCCAGCAGCATTAAGTACAAAAAAAAAAAAAAAAGTATGTGCTACCAAAGCAAATCTAAACCGTTACACCACATCACGCCAAAGTTCATTTAAATTACATGATCCCACCTCAGAACTTCAACCTCAGAATCTCCTTTTAATTGAGACATCCTCATCCCCAAAACTGCCCATGCCTGTGAGAGGAGACGCTTCCAGCCACAGACTTCTGAATATTAGCAAACATCAGAATTACTGGAGAGAGGAGGGAGCCTGTTAAATGCCATGAACACTGAGTCTTTGATATAATTAAATCTGACATAGGATTCCTGGTAATGGGACTAGGGCTTTGAGCAGGGCTCTAGGTAAGGGATGCCCTACTATGATGCAGAGCCAGATGATGGTGGGCTTCTCTATGCTGGGGAGGAAGAAACGGTTCCCCTCTCTCAATGGCAAGTGTAAACTGGCGCAGTTTGCCAATCCAGCGTCAATCTTTTGAGAAAACCCCGCCCTTCTTCACAGACTTGCTGCAGGGCATTTGGGTGTATATGAAGAGGCTCCATACCTCCTCCTCCTCACTTTGCTCTTGGAACTTGAGACTGTGCAAGCTTACCCTTGGCCAATGCTTATGTTTACAGAAGGCACAGTTTCTTCCCACAACCAAATATGCATGGCTGTAGGAAAAGAGGACTCTGGGCAGGTGTAGACCCCTCCAGACATCTAGGCCGATGACGGCCTCATCAGAGACATCTCTGTCCCACTATCGCCCTCTGCTGGTCATCTTCATGTTCTGGCCAAACTACACCTCTCAAGGCTGTGTAACAAACCTACTTCCTTCCCACGTCTGCATAAGGGTTATCAACTAAGCCCAGGCAGGACCTGAGTCCACAGTGGTAACCAGCCAGGAATAAGTGATTCTCATGACGGGGCATAAAATGCTGAAGACAAGAGAGCCATGGATGCTTAACAAGGAAACTTGTGGGTAATGGGAGAATGTACCTCTGATGGTGTTCCCCTCTGATGGTGTTCCCCTCTGATGGTGTTCCCCTCTGATGGTGTTCCACTCTGATGGTGTTCCCCTCTGATGGTGTTCCCCTCTGATGGTAGTGTTCCCCTCTGATGGTGGTGTTCCCCTCTGATGGTGGTGTTCCACTCTGATGGTGTTCCCCTCTGATGGTGTTC